TAATATAGTTTAAATGGAAAGAGCAAATAAAATCTGCTTACCAATAAATAATTAAAAATATTAAAACCTCCAGAAGAAGAATTATTGATAGGATTACTGTCCAATTACACCCGTAACAAGTTTTATTTTTTCTATAATCTTCGGTTTTGTGTATATTATAGTTGATATCTACGTTAAATTCTTTTTTAGAATACGCTGTTTTTGGTATAAATTGTTCTTTCAATTTTCGATAGATCAAATAAGGAGGTGCTTTTGCATGTTTTAATCTACTATCCTTTTTCGTAGTTAATGTTCGTGTTTCTCGTTCCTTTAAATATAATCGAATGATTTGTATTAAATGATTTTCTTTCATTTTAATAATCTTGGCTCTTTAACTTTTAAATAATAGAAATTCTGAATGAATATAAGAAAAAAGTAGCTACCTTTATACTATTTCCTAAAATACAGTATATAATTTATGTATGATTTAATGTATATAAAATTTTAAATTGAGTAACAGATCAGCATTATTAAAGTTTCAATATATTAAAAATTTATACATCGTTGGCTTTATAGGTAACAGTACAGACTTCGGAGTTTCATTTTGATATTTTGTAGATAATACGAATAACCGCGGCGAAGACAGAAAGTATCTCCTTGTTTGAACAAGTACATTAGAAAAAATTAATCATCAAACAAAGCCGCCTTTTGCAATAGCACGCGAAGAATTGGAGTATTAAACTTTGTTATATCATTAAATTCTTGTTTACGCTACACCTTTCTTGGAATCTTATAGATTGTTGCGAAGTATTCATATACGTCCTACATGTTTTAACGTGTATAATTGCGTAACAGATCATTACTATATATTATAATATTAATCGTTATCATCATACAGAACTCGGAGTTTCATTTTAATGTTTTGTAAAATAGGTAATACGAATAACCGCGGTGATGGCAAACAAAATTATCCTTATTAGAACAAGTTCATTTACGAAAAAATGTATTTAAAGGACACGTAAAATCCAGTTCACATCGATTTTTGACTGTAAATTACAAAAATGTCAAGAAACTGTTTAAAGCTATTAGCATTGTTGCCAAAATTCGCCTATACAGCCTTTATTATTATTTTATTTATTTTAGTTTTTTTTGTCTTCGCTATTCTGATTTTCGTATCCTTGATTTTACTGTTGAACCATAATTTGATTAATTTGATTCCACTCTTGTTTTTTTCTGGTCTTGTTGTTGGATTTTCTATATTATTTAATAGAACTATTCACCTCAATGATAGAGAAATAAATGAAGGCCAACTATTTACTAACAAAGAATCTTTCAACAAAAATAAAAACATAATTAATCAAAGATGTTCATCTGAACCAACATTAGTACAATCTTTAAAACATTGTTTTACTGGGCTCAAATGTCAATTACATGCTTGCTTCAATACTATGATCTGTTTTTTATATGAAAATTTGGGTTTCCTGGTTCTAAAAATCGTAAAAGAAACATTTTATTTGACAATTACCATACAACCTTTACAACATTTTTTTACTGGGTTCAAATAGCAATTACATTCTTGCTTCAATACTATAATCCTCTTCTTATATAAAAAGTTAGTTTCTCTGGTTCTAAAAATCGTAAAAGAAACATTTTATTTGACAGTTACCTTAATTATATTAATATTTTTATTTTATATCCAAAAATTGGTTATTATATTATTTATTTTTACACTTTTATGCTCTTTTATCTTATTCGAAAAACAAATCTTCACAATGAAAGAAAACCTGCTTTATGCTGGAAAATTAGATCTTTCGATTGAATACTTAAGCGATCTCACCATTAAGGATGATAAAGAAAGTTTAATTGATTCATTTAATTACTATCTGCAGAAAGACCTTAATGATAATACTGGTCTACATAATCCACTATTTAATAACCTGGGGATAAATGTTCTACAGCAAAAAAATATAGTCATTCTATTCGATCATCTTCAGTATTTCATTAAAGAGTTTTTAAATAAAAATAATGATGATAAAACTCGTATGAAAGAAATGAGAACGAAGGCAATTAACCTTGGATTATTCTATATTCATCAAAGAAATGTAATGATCGGTGATGAGACCTTCAGAAACATTATTAATAAGAAAAAGGATTGGTATGAAGCAAATAAACATTGGATAATAATTTTTGTACATTTTATAAAAAAAACTGGATCTTAAGGTTTAAAACCATCTTTTCATTTTCAAAAGAAAAACATTGTCTATCTCAAAATTTCACTTATCTGCTACTGTACCATCTTCCCACTTTATTTATTACATCAAAAAGGAATGCTTTATTGGAAAAAGTTGGGTTTTTATTTTTGTAAATTCAAATCGGCTAAATACTTGGCTTAATGCAGCGCAATTTTGTTTAGCTTGAGGGACATGCACTTATCTTCGACCATCCCTTTCGTTAACGAACAACTGAATATTTGTGATCTAGTAGTCGAGCGATCGGAGTTATACTATTATACAGTGACTCTCATATAGTTTGATCACCTGAAAAAAAATTTAAATTCATATAATTTCTTAATAGCGAAGTATTTTATAATTTTTTTATATTAAATTCATCTAAACCTATAGTTATTAGTGCAAATAATTTTACCGGTAAATTTTTTGGGCATTAATAACTATAGGTTTAGATGAATTTAATATAAAAAAATTATCATAAAATACTTCGCTATTAAGAAATTATATGAATTTAAATTTTTTTCAGATGATCAAACCATATGAGCATCACTGTATAATGTCCTTTCTTTCGGTATGGATTTTGCTATGAAATGACTTTCAAAATGAATCATTTTTATAGCATATTTACGACTCAAAACTGATTCAAAGCTCCAATCGATTTTCCAGTTTATCATGAGAATTCTTTTGGGCTGGTGGTATTTGATAAGTTCTTGAGATTTTTCATCAGTCAGAATTGCTAGTAAAATTTCTAAGCAATTCACTCTTGAGTTTCAATATTGAGTGCTTAAGCCATTATTTAGCCAATTTTAATTTATTACTCAACTAAATCATCTTTTGCCAATATTAGACATTTTATATTTGAGAGAAATTTTCTTAATTATTTATTATAACAATTCTATCTCAGAAGTTGTTTAATTACAATAATAAAATTTTGTATTTGTATTTATATTTATAATAAAAATATTGAATATTACAAATTCAATTTCCAATAGTCCTATGCATGTTAAGAACGGGGATTTTCTACATTCACTTTTAACAACTCTGTTGATAGACTCAACTAGATAATATACCCGAATATTGGCTACCTCCCCCAATTGCTGTAATTTCTCAAAATTCTTTACATTTAAGTTCGTGGTTATTCTCACTTTTATGTTAATCTGTCGACCTGCCACTTTGCCCTCCTGACTGTTGACGTTACAATAAAATTTGTAATTTGAAATATTGTTTAATAAGTTTTTACTAATCAGCAAATTTTGAAAAATTTTAACTTTTCCAGACCTCCCTACCAATATTAATTCAGTCTTTTGAAAAAAGTATTATTTACAAATTTTCAAAAAAAAGTACTTAAGACACAAATACAAGACTAGATTTTTGAATAGGAATTAATTCGTTATATATTTTAGATTGAAGCTCTTCTATCCTTAATCTGTTATCAATTATGTCAATACTGTCAATAAAGTATTGAAGCCAAAAATTGACCAAATTTGGATTAATTTTGCCCAATATATCTATAAGTCTTTTAATTTCTAAATATAATATTAAACCCCTTTTGTTAAATTTTTCTTCACGAGTCATGTTTTTAAATTTAAAATCTAATATTTTTCATTTATCGTCATTCATTTCTTTTAATGAAAAATTACTCGTTTTTGTCTTAAGAAATCCATTTTCTACTTCAGATTGCGATTGATGCTTATTGTTATCATATAGCTCATTTATTGTATCATTCGTTTCGTTTACTGCATCATTTGTTTTATTTGCTGACTCTTCGACATAATATACTATATGAATAAATTCCTCTTCAGGTATGTATTCGTTGAAGACTTCGGATTCAATTTTGGATAAATCGATAATTAAATAGCAAATAAATAAAAATGTTGTAAGGCAAAAGATATTGAAGAAATCCATTTTCAATTTAATTTTAAGAAATGCGATTTCGCACAGCCTAAAAGGTATATCCATCAACTTTAAATAAATTTCTTGAAATCCAACTTCTGCATAACTAATTCTCGTGCATCTTCACAATAATTGTAAGAAACATGTTTATGATTCAAAAAAAAAACAGAAATTTTTTTCTTTACTTGAGACCTGATTTTTACATTATCGAGCAGCATTTTGAGGCTTAGTACGTGTACTAGAACACGCTTGGTTCTATTATCTTACCCACTCCTAATTAAGCAACTGAATGATTTTATAAATTTAATTCTAAATGTACAAAAAATTCAGAACCGAATTTATTTTTTGCATAATAA